CTCGCCCCAGCCGTCCCCGCGCCGCCGTCCCCTCGGCGGTTGCGTCCCGGCAGGCGTTAATTAATTAACTTTTCAACCTCGCGCATACCTGGATTTCTCTGCAAGCTGCCGTGATATAAATTACAACCTTAGCGCTGTGAATTACTTCTAACGCTAAAAGAGGAATGTTTTCCGTCGAATTAAATATTCGCAGCTGGGTAGGAAATGCGTGGTTTACAGTCTGGCGCTCGCACACTGTTATTATGGCGTGATTAGCAGATATAAGCTTCTCTGAAAGTCATCTGTATCAACACGCCGCAAATTGCAACCATCCTGGCACGTCCCGAGCTACCGAACGGATCCCGGCTCGCAGGCCACAGCGTTATCACGAGGGATTTTCTCTCCGAAGCTCCTCTTTAAACACCCATCAAGGTCTGGCAAACTTCAGCGCAACAGAATAACGCGTTCATCAGCATCCTTAACTTCAACAACTTTTTGTGGAGCTAATGCATTCACTTACAAAACATATATGCTTAAATAACGTAAGAATAGGAGGCGTTACGGTCCAAGCTGAGATACCTGGAGCATATGGGTGGCATTGCTGGTGGTGCCAGCGACGTCCTGCCTTCCTTTGGGCAGGCCACAGCACCTCTCCGTTTCTCTGCTTGTAATGTGAATAAACCACTGCAGAGCTGGAAAGTCCACTACAAGGTTTAACTAACCCACCCCGTCCCGGCCTTCTCTAAGACAGACTCACGAAAACGGAAGACCAGAGTTTCTATCGAGTACTTAACACAGGCAGCCAAAAAGTTATTTAAAAACCCAGAAATGCTTTGAAGTCTCTCCTGTGCACAGTTCCTAATATGCTAGGCCACGCAGACGGTAACGCTCTCTAAGAGGCCTGGACATATTCCTCCACACCTCTTCGTCCCCAGCGATTTCATCCTTATCCCATTTGGCATCTAACTGGCTTTCCGCCGCGTTCTGAATGAAGCTGAAATGGATACGGCTGTTTCCATCTCACAGCAGCTGCTGCCAGAAACCCCGGCGCTCCTAAGGCTGCTTCCCGAGTCCTCGCCGGCCCCGGCAGGCAGAGGTTGCAACCGAAGGCTCCTGGGCCAGCAGCGACCAGGAAAACACGGTGCACACCTTTCAGAGGGCTTTTGCTTTTACACACTTCACCGTGCCTGCATCTTCCCTTGGAGGATCTCGGTTTGCCCGCCGGCAGACCTGGCGGAGGTCAGCATCGCTGCGGGAAATCCAGCTGCCGTCACACACCTGCAGCTTGCGGAGGCAGGAAGGAGGCGAGCAGGAAACCTCTGCGCAAAACGGAGACGGAGCAGAGGGTAAAAGGGCTCCTGCATCTTTCAGGCTTCTGCGACGGACCCTCTCCTCCACCTCGGCTGCGTGACAACACAAGGTCTTAACCCATACCCAGGTAACGCAAGGTCTTAACCCATACCCAGCCCCTAGGCACCACACCGCCACTTGCACGTAACAGCGGCCAGAGGCCGTCCCGGAGCATTGCTCCGAGTCCAAGGAGAGCTGCGGTTGTGCCAGGGCCTGCCACGGCGTCTCCTCTCCCGACCCGCAGCGTGCTTCTCTTCCCTCAGGAAATCTTCTAAAAACTACAGCAAGGCAAAGAACGGACCAAACCCCTCTGCTATGCCTTCTTAAATGTTACCGGCTATTTTTTTGAAGTATTCACAAGCACAAAAATAAGCAAAAAGGAGCCTGAAAAAAA